TTTTAATTTTTGTATTTTAATTTTAAATATTATCACTTGGGTGTATATTATTTAGGAGAGAACAATTTTTGGCCAAGGAAAAAAGGAGTATCATTAAAATCAGAGGCTGCGCTGTCAAAATCAAAACGGAGTAAAAAACCTGACAGGGTTTTTGAACATCAAGAAGTCCAAGCTATTGGTGGCAAAGATGTTTCTCTGTTTCTCTTCAGAGCTTTGGGAAAAATTCTGTATTGTAAAAGTAAGAAACTATACGTTTTTAAAATTTGTTGGATATTACATAGTCTTACAATGGAAATAAAATGCCACATTTTTTTTTTAAATGTCATGTATTTGGTTCTGTTATAAGAAGAAACTAGGGCTGGGTCAGATATTGTTTGCCACGGCCAAAGATGTTATAGAAAAATGTATTTAGATAGAGTATTTTCTGACTATGAGCAAGATAAGAAGTAAAAATAAACTACTATAGGCCATATCCATGTCTGTAAATCTTTAAAATTATAGTTTGCTGAAATTAAGACATCAGTCCAACTTCACTGGCAAATTGGTAGCCCAAAGCCCTTTTAGCATCGGGCTCTAGCCATCAGGACCCTAGACAAATTGTCAGGTACCCTAAGGTTTTTTTCAATCCTCTTGTGTTTTGCTGTACTCCACTAGCTTGCTACTTCCTTAGCCGGAGATGTTCATTGCCCCCTGCTGTCTTCTTTGATGCCCGCTGCTCCCCTTCAGTTTCTCTCTCCCCCATTGCCCATCTCCCAGATTGTCCCTCCTTTCAATAGGAAATACCTGTTTTCAGTCTTATGAGCATGAAGAAAGGAAATTGGGGCTTCTAAATGGGAACCTTCCTACCACCTGAGGAAAATGAAATGGGCATCACTTAGATGGCAAGGAAGACACTCCTCTGTCCCTGGATCCTCTGAACCTAAGTGGATATTCCACCTAATTCTTTTCCTTCCGCCTTTTCTTTTCCTCTCCAACATTCATTTATACTTTCTTGCATTAGGGAATAGGGTTCCTATTCTCTCATGTAAAGAGCAGCATCTTTCTACATAATGAATAAAAGAGTAAAGACCTCTGTGTTGAGATGAGAATCAAAGGAAGGAAGCAACCAAACCTGGAAAAGGTGATATGGGAGTGCTTTGAGAAATAGAGTTTTTTGTTTTTTGGGGTTTTTTGGTTTGTTTTTGTTTCGTGATAGGATCTCACTCTGTTGCCTGGGCTAGAGTACAATGGCATCGTCACAGCTCACTGCAACCTCAAATTCTGGGACTCAAGCAATCCTCCTGCCTCAGCCTCCCAAGTAGCTGGGACTACAGGTGCATACCACCACACCAGGCTAATTTTTCTATTTTTTGTAGAGAAGATCTTGCTATGTTGCCCAGGCTGGTGTCAAACTCCTAGCCTCAAGTGATCCTCCTACCTCAGCTTCTCAAGGTGTGAGCTACCTTGCCCAGCTGAGAAATGTCTTTTAAGTCTAGAAAAGCCATAATCCAGGCATTAGAATTCTAAATTTAGTTTTTGTTAATATTGATAAAATAGGTGACTCACATAACCTTCCAGTTATTTTTTGTTTGTTTGTTTTTGAGGCAGGGTCTTGCTCTGTTGCTCGGGCCAGAGTGCAATGGCGTCAGCATAGCTCACCACACCCTCAAACTCCTGGGTTCAATTAATCCTCCTGCCTCAGCCTCCCGAGTAGCTGGAGCTACATGTGCATGCCACCACGCTGGGC